AATATTCGAATGAAGTCGTGGTACTTACTCTGTTCTACAATAACGTGAAAGTGTTTTTTGGGCGAGTTTGACGATAAAAAGCAGGAAAGGAAAGCATAAGATTAAGTAAGTATGGTATGATTATATAACATACGGGCAAATTATAGGAACGAGTAATAAATACTACGAAAATGACTGACTAGAAAGACGTTTTTTGAACACGCGAGGCGTACAAACGTTAAACTATTACAGTATATAACAGAACTTACTTTGGCTGTTCAACTGAGAGACGAACTCTGCGATGTTTATAGCTGGCCCAAAAGAAATAAAATTAAGAAGCCTCTGTTCGGTAAGCAAAAGGAACGCACTACCATTGACATTATTATTTTTGAATTTTTCAATTTCATCATCGGTAAGAGAGAATTTATTTTGCTTGGACTTCAGAAAATTTCTAACTTCTTCTACGCTCCAACCATCAACTGTTTCGAACGAGGGATTAGCAGTAGTAGTACTTGTAGACATTTCGATTTGAAAAAAAATATATTGGGAGTCGGATGATGTATAAAAAAGAACGCTGAAAAGCCTGTGCTACTTGCTTAACCTCTATTTGTAAAGGATCGGAAACACTAACCTCTATTTGTAAGGGATCAGATAATTTTTTGACGGTTTATACTAACCGAAAAATTCAGTTTTCGGTTAGTTTGATAATTAAATATGGTTTAACCTTTTCTACCATTTTTATAGCTTCTTCCATGAATTTATACATAATTTCATTTACGAACAGCGGTTCAATATATTAGAAAAAAAAGGATCTAATTACGCCATACGCCGCGCAAAAAAACTTTACACAAGTGGCGTTTTTAAAAATTTTCTCATTAAACTTTTTTTTTTTAGTTAGTTAATAGAAAAAAAGAAAATATGCCATGACTATTTTGACTATTTAAAGCAAATGCATTTATGAATGACTGAAATAAAATCTTGCCGACCTATTTAAAATCCTCTCCGAAAGTTATCGAAAAAAAACACTCCTTCATTTCTATATTTTTTTTCTCTCAGAAATAAGTAATGAATAAACAATGAAAAAAAAAAAAAAAAGGATGAATCTCTCGTGAAATTCCCAAAGAAGATTTCTTTTTTCTCAAGAAGAAAAAAAATCCTGTTTCTCTTACGCTACCTTTTCTTACTAAAAAAAAAATGATAAATCATCTTCTTTTTACTATTACCAATTACCAATAACCGTCAAATTCTTTTCAAAAAAAAAAAACTATAAAATCATGCCAGCAAAATTCACACTTATTTGTATAATTCATTCAATAATTGAAAGAGACATTACAGAGCACATTGTGAGAGAAGCAATCATTATATTAAGGAGAGAAACAAATGTAAACTTAGAACTAAGAATAATTACTTTTTTTCCTAAAAACTCCCAAGTATCGAGATGGATTCCTCTTTTCGCTGACAGAAATATTTTAAGATTTACTGGAAAATTCGCACTTTCAAAAGACCCTCATGATGCTATAGAAGTAAATAAATTCAGTTAACTAATTTAATTAAAAAAAATATTCGTAACAAATATTTTCTCTTTTACTATCAAAAAAATATCTAGATGATAGCAAATGCAACTGACCTTATAAATATCAGTCGAGACAATTTGCCAATCAGTTCTATTTCTGTTTTTCTTACAGGTTTCGTTGCAGAAATGGAATCAGTTCAAAGTGACAACCTATTTAAAATCATTAAGCTAAACGTGACTGAATTTGCTAGAAGTTCACAAGGTGGACCCATAGGAAGAACATTCTGCATTAAATGCAGATACTTGAAATCCGATGGACGAATTGAGAAAAAGGCAACTAGAATCAAAAAAACTTAAATTTAATGATCACTGGCGAGATGATCTGTATTAATGAAACACTTGAATACATACAGACCCTCGCCAAAAGTCTTCGAATGCTTTTTGGCTCAATATAAAACTTAAAATTTTAAAGTTTATTAAAAAATTTTATTAATTTATTTATTAATGTACGATATGCTACACATTTAGTACTAAATAATTAGTACTTGGTCAGGCTTTTATTTGCTTCATCACAGCCTGAATTCGCTGCGAATCTTTAATTAAGGATGGTTGATCAGAACGAAGCCTCAAATTAACAGTTCCGGTGTCATCCATTCTTTTTAAAGTTCTAAATGCTGTTAAAAATTCACAACCAATATTTGCGGCAATAGCCCAGTAACTATCGCCATGTTGACGGCAAAATATATATCGCCGCGTTGTTCTTTGAACATTTTCGTGATTTTCAAAAGGTAAATTTTATTTTGGTTAAAAATCAAAATAAACAAATCAAACACGCTTTATTTGGTTTTGATTCAAGCAAACAAGATCAGGTACATTACATGACTGCAGTATTATACAATCATATGATGTATTCAGTATGAAATAGCTGAAAGATGATATTCAGAGACTTTTGGCAGGATCTGTAATTGAAATACAAGATATTAATTTCCTTTCAATGTCTATAGCAATGAATATGAATCACCAACTGGAGAATCCGTCTCATCCCTATATTCCTAGCCAGCCAGACAATCTTCAGGAAGAATTTCTGCACAAGCAATGGCAAGTGTCGCATCAAACACCTAATCATCAAACTCAAATGTAACAAGTGTCACGTCAAATACTCAATCACTAAGTTCAAATAAAAATCCGCAGCCTGAATAAAAAAAAACTCACAAATCTTCCTTTTTCATTTTCATTTTTTTTTATTACTATTTTTATTATTTTCTATATACAGATACATAAAAAATTACTCTTCCCAAACTCCTACCTCTTTTTCTTTTTTTTTTGTTACCATTTTTATTTTATCCTTTTTTTTTACCGAATTATTCATCAAATTATTTTTTTTTTATCAATAAAAAAACACTTTCTTCTAATTAAAAAAAAA